TGGTATCTGACCCCGGTTAGACTGGCAAAAATGTATAAAACCTGTAGTGATGTTTGTTGGAGATGCACAACAGGGCAGGAAGCTTTCTACACATGTGGTGGGAGTGCAAAGAGATAGTGGGATTCTGGGAAAATATTTACAACGAATTGAAAAAGATGTTTAGATTTTCATTTGGGGGGAAAACAGAATCCTTTCTCCTAGGTATCATGTCAGAGGAAATAAAAAGAACGGTCAGACCAATATTTATGTATGCAACTACAGAGGCAAGGTTAATTGTCAAAAACCGGAAAAGCAGCAGTGTCCTAACTAAAACAGACTGGCTATCTAAAATGATGGAATACTTCCATATTGCCAAATTAACAGGGAGGATAAGAGGAGATATGGTACAAAGAGTGAATAAGGAATGGGCTATCTTTAAGGAATACATCAAAATCTATGTGAAAAAAGTAGAACTTTTGACAGATATAGAGTGAATCCAGGAAATGATTAGAGTGAAAGGAGAGTAAAGTTAAGATAGAAGAAGAGTTAAAGAAATAATGAAATGTGTTTAAGCTAATTGGAAAAATAAAGTAGCGTAACAAGAATGACTGAAAGTCAAGTCACTTGGTGGGTGTCCGTGTGGAGTAGGTGTGTAGGTATGTTGATACATATACTATAGGTAGGTATAATATAGAGTAATGTAGGTATTTTTTATGCTATGAAAATAAGGTAGTGTGTTGTGTATATGTATTGTGTAACTGCAAAAGTTTGCATTTTATATGTTAATAATAATAATAAAAATATTAGCAAGCAACATTCCCATCAGCGTTTTCAAATAAAAGCACACACAAAAGGAATGTTGTGTAAAGCAATTCGATAATTAATGCAGTTCGATACAAACTTGTATTAATAAAATAGTAATAATGATCAGAAATGGCTGTCCAATCCTCTATTAAAGCCATCCAAATTGGTGGCCATCACTGCCTCCTGTGGCAGGCAGTTCCATAGTTTAACTATACACTGTGTGACAGTAGTCTATCTAGGAAGCGCCCTCTTCACCCAGTGCAGCAATGCAATCCCAGAAGCAGTTTCTTCCACAGTTCCAGCCCAGAAGTGAAGTGGGACTGGTTCCATTCACTCAGCTATGGATAAACCATCCCCTGCAAACAGAATGGCTGCTTCACCCATTAACTCATCTAAGTGCCATCAGGCAAACAATGACTGTCTCATCCAAAACTTGGACCATTCTCACCAGCCAACTTTACAGGGCTGCTGCAAGGATTACTAAAGACGAGATATGGAAAGGCACTTCAAAGATCCAGATTCTACTACATTAAGCGCAAGGCATTATCTTCGCTATCTAAAGGACGATGACACACTCCTAACACATGCCCACCTTCCTTTTCTGTGTCAACCGGAGCTCTCTTATCTGAGAAACCAGTGCAAAAAAGCACCAGCTGCCCATTTAATGCCCTAAAGAGTTATTTCGGTCCCATTAGCACATAATTCATAACCCCCATAAAGCGTTTTCATCCCACTGCCTGTCACTGAAGCTCAGCACATTTCTTTCGAATTGTTTCTAGTTGAGTTGGCACAGTAGCAGTTTGAGCACAGTGCATCTCTCTCTCTCTGTCACAAGAGGTGGGGTTTCCCCCCTTCCCTTATTCGTATGAA